CCCAGACCTAATTGAGTGTTATAGGCATTGTGATGACAGATTTATCATAGACTCTTTACTTAACAATAATATTGCCTCTGCATATAACAGCCCAACTGCTTTGTGTCTGTGTGGGTTTTTGTATTGTAACAATTTTCTCCTTTATCTGTTGATTGACACCAGAGAAACACCGTCTCATTTTTTTTGTATTACACTTTCAGAGGGAAGAAAAAAAAAATCATTTAACCACTGGAAGCCTTTTCTGAGTCGTTTCCTGAAAGCACAGTGTCAGCTGCAGAGGGACTTGTGGGAGCCGAACAATGGGGAAAACATCTGAGCTCCTCTGGGACAAAGGGAGTGCTTATGTTTGCTAACTCTCAGGCGACGTGAAGCAGGCAAGCATCTGAAGCTGTGTTTCTCCACAAAAAGCGTGGTGGATTTTGACATTTTTCGTCTCTGCTGGACGCCGTCTTTACAACAGACTGAAGACGAGGAGCTGTAGCTACTTTGTTTTAGGGTCTTTAAGATGATGCTAATGCCACGGGAGGGAGTGACGCCGGAAACTAGCTCCTCAGATTTGCTTAAATGAGGCAAAAGACAAAAGTGTGACATTGAGCATTTAAAAGCGAAGGATAGCAAGTTCAGAGGAAGCAAGAGGCGGAGGTACCCTGCTGGGCTGCCTCTGCTTTTTTTCTTTTGTTAGATGTCATATATCAGGTGAACCAAGGGGGCCGCATAGTTAAGCAGCCAAGTGTCAGGCAGTGTTATGGGCTCCTGAAGGCACCTGCTGACAGCCCGCACTGTTACAGCCGCTGAACAGCATCGACAAGAGCCCCCGCTTGTGATTTGTGAGATTCCTTTGTTGTTATTTGTGCGGTTATGTCTCATATCCAGTCTTGTCATGTCAGCCGCGCCCCTCCAACCAGCTGACGGTTCGCAGCGGCGTGCTGGTAAATAATGGAGAACAGCCAGCCAGAGGGTTGAGGTTTCTAATCAGAAGTCCTGTTTGCTTTGCCGCGAACCCGGTGGGGAAAGGCAAAGCGAAGGTACATGTGATCATAAATCTCCAGCCTCTCTCCTCTTCTACTCCATCTTCGCCCTCTTTTTCTTTTCCCCTTTTTTTTTTTTTTTTTTTTTCCTTTCTACTCAGCCACACTATCTCATTAACAGCAACCTTGACCTATCCCTCGCTGAGTCTCTGCAAGACTGCGTCTGCCTCGGGCTGCCACTGTGATCATTGCCGACTTTATGTAACAAAAAAATAAACTGCATAATAATAATTTACCCAGAGGTGATTTTTAATTTTTTTATTTTCCTTTCCCACCATTTTTCCCCTTCAAAAATAGCTTTCATGCTTTAAATAGAAGCTAATTTTATGCTAAGCCAGCAGATACGGGGATGATGAATCACCGTGTGATAAGCGCTCCTGCTTCTGAACGACAACTAGAAGAAAAACGTTGCTCTGAGTGGGTTGCCACACAAAGCCCCCCGAGTAGCTTTTTGCGATGTATTTCATGTCATGCATTGTTTATGTAGCGTCTGTTTTCTGCGTTACGTGTGTGTTTGGGTTCCCTGACAGCGGGGTGATGTTATAAATGCATCGGTCAAAGGTTAGCGTTGTATAATTCATCATCTCCATCTTCCGCGATCGCGGCAACACGGGAACCTCGCGCAAGATAAATCAAGCCGAGCCTTATCATTTTCCTCTTCTCGGCTTGTTCAGGTTTTTACCCACTTCTCCTCACACGGCCATCACTCCCAACGTACACTTTGACTTAGTGTACGCCACGCGCTTTTTTTGTATCTCTCAGTTCATCTGCTCCAGAATCTTTTTCTCCCACTTATCTGCTTCTGCATCCCAAACTTTTCCTCCTGTTTTATCCCTTTTGTTTACAGTCCCCTCGCTCTTTGTGTCTTTCATCTTCCTTCGTCCGCCTCGTCTTCCACCTGCCCTTCTGTGCTCTTCATGTCCATGTAGTAAACCCACCAGTCGATAATTAGTTGTTGTACTTATGGCCCCCGGGGGGCCGACGTGACATCCTGTCTACGCTTTGAGCTACGTAAGCGAGTGAAACAAAGCGACAAAGCCGACCTCAAAGCCGACCCGCGAGACATGAAGGCTGATGGGAGGCTGAGACGGAGAACGACAGAGGCAGGCCATCAATCCGTTTGGACCACTGATGTGACCTGAGCCAGTGCAGAATCAGACTTTAAAAAACTAAATGAATACAAATTGTGACTAAAAGCACGTTTTATTCATGGCTTTTTCAGCCTTGCTCATTCATAATCGTACTGTGTGTAGGCAATTTAAATTAAAACTGTATGAGATGATCATATTTACGATGGAGTATTTGGGCCGTACAAAGAGAAAAAAGGAAATAGAATAAAATTACAAGAATAAAGTCTTACATTTCGAGAAGCGTAAGACTTTATTATGAGAATAAATTCGTACGAGAATAGTCATATGAGAATTAAGTTGTAGTACTACCAGAATAAAGTCCAATTTTAAGGATAAAGTCATAATATTACAAGAGTAACGACTAAAGTCAAATTAGAGGGATAAAGTCAGTGTTTTGACTTCATTCTTGTAATTTTCTGACCTTTCTCTGAATTTTATAGATTTTTTTTATTTTCCTTGCACGGCCTTAATACTCTGTCATACTTATTGCTTGTATTTAAAGCATCAAAGCATCAATTATTCTTCTACTATTATTCTACAGTAAATGTGCCTTAATTAATGTGTTTTGTGCCATTCTGCTTCTTTTAAAGTAATTTTTGGGTCCTGGACGGCTGATGCTAACTTGTCAGTTAGCGAGGTTAGCATGCCTGTGGTGTGTTGTTAACATTACAGACATGATGGCTCACGGTTTGGTGCAACCATTTCTTTTCAAACATGGGTGGTGAATCCTTAAAGGTATTTTCAGCTGGCTGAAATATTTCAGCAACGAGTGTGGGAGGGGGTGTTTTATAACTGGAGAAAAGAATTACGTACATTTGTAATATTTTAAAAACTGTGGCTGTATTTTTATTTATTTATTATTTTGGTGCCTGAATCTGGGCCGGGCTCACGTCTTGTTTTAAATTGAAAAATATTTAATCTATCTGAGTTTGAAAAACAACAAAGCATGTTTTCGCTGTGAAAGGATCCAGGACATCTTTTTTTTTTTTTTTTTGTCACTTTACAAAATCTCCCCCTAAATGTTTTACTTCCTTCTCAACAGGATTTCATTACATCTGCCAGTGTTTTGAGGCTAATGTATCTGTTTTGCTTCACAGTCACTGGTGATTAAGTGAGCCAGTCGTCTGCCTCAGTGTACTCGCTACGAATGACAGTTTCTCTGTGAGACGCTCGTCTGCTTTCCTGCTCCCCCAGATTAAAAGTCTCTTCCGCTCTTTGTTTGATATAAGCCACATCTCCAGATGCTTGTTCGATATTACAAGCATGTGTAAATGTTCTGTCGTCATCTGAGGACTCTTTTTTTCGACTGTCAAAGACTTCCCATCAAGCCTGTAAAAACTCGCTGACACTTATGGAGTCCCGTATCACTCAGAGCCTCCCAATTAGAGCCATTTGCGTGAGCCGGCCCGGTTCGTAAATTCTGTACCTGCTTGGAAGTGATGTGAACCGGTGGATCCATCCGCTGATGTGTTATTCATGTGACAGATTTGCAGCCGATAAGTGCCCCACTTTACTAGGAATTGTCTTAAATAAGTGATGCTCCTTTCCATTCCTGTCGAATGTGATAAGAAAGATGGAGGAGAGTGAGACGCAGGCGAGGTGGGAGTCAGGAGAGCCCTGACAGGGCAACATGTTTGAACGTTCAATCAAATTTCCACACTCAACCGTCACGGTTCTGAATTTTACAATAAGATGGAAACAAGTGACGGTGAGAAAAGGCCACCAGATTATACGGCACATCTGAATGCTGGTTTTAAAGTTCTATAAGGTCTATAAGCTGCAGGAGTCTATGTTGTAGCATAGGATATTTACACAGAACATTTTTAACTTTAGTGAAATGTGTAGCAAAAATGTCTTCTTTTTTTTCCAAACAGTGCCTGTAACAAGGGCGCTTCATGAGAAAAAATGCAGTAGCCAAGCAGAAAAAGTCATTTCTTTATCTTCCTCCTTCGCTCTAAAACCATTAAGTTCATCTTCTTCGATGTCGGAATTGAACAGCTTCACACACACTTCCTCAGTCTTTCTTTCGTTGTCGTTTTCAGAGTAAACATTCGTTTATTAGCCACTTCAATGTTTGACTCACCGTGCTCCAAGCGTGTTAAAAAAACAGCGACTTATAGTGTGGAAATTACGGTACTCTTATACCCCTAAAAGAAAATCTAGCTGAAAGGTTGTATTTACCAGCCGAATTATTAAATATGCTATGCTATAATTCTGTGGGTAACTGGTTGAGAATAAGTCTTGTCAAATATAAATAAATAACACTTTAGTAAAAAAAAAAAAAAAAAAAAACATTGTCTTGTGTCGATCTATTACTTTAATGGACACTGCCTCAAAAGATTGTCCTCTTATCTGTGTTTAAGGGTAATGGCTAAGTAAAGGGCTTCCTTTTGTCAGTAAAGGCGAGTTAATGTATATATTCTTATACGGCTAATAAAGGCTTAGGACATCAGTGCAATGGAAGTACACCATCTGTCCTTGGTCACTTTAGAGCCATACAGGGACAGCCTTACTTTCTAAATGTGAAACACCCAAAACTATTCTTGTTATAGCATCTTTTTTTTTTCACTAGTCAGTACAGCACTTGGAAAAGTTGGCTGTATTTCCAGCAGCTACTCCAGCACTGCCAACCAGAACAGGTGCAACCTGACAAGCTGCAAGGTGACCAAAAAAGAACCCCTAAGCTTGGCCAAGATTTTTTATTCATCTCTGTTTGCTTGTGAGGGACATAAGATGCTACATAACGGTTCACCGCCAGCGGCGGCCAAAAGCAGCGCTGAACACGGTAGCTGCTCCATCCGCTCCGCTCACTCACACTCCCTCCTCTTCTCTCTGTTCCCAGGTAACGATTTGTTCCTGGTGGCCGTCCACGAGCTCGGCCACGCACTGGGCCTGGAGCACTCCAACGATCCCACGGCCATCATGGCGCCTTTCTACCAGTACATGGACACGGACAACTTCAAGCTCCCCATGGACGACCTGATGGGAATCCAGAAGATTTACGGTAAGGGCTGAAACTGCGTCTATATTTTTGATGTGATTTATGTTGGTGTGTGATGACGGATTGAATTGAAAAGCTTGGCAGACATAAGAGAGCCAACAGCATATACTGATGTCATGATTTCTCTCCAAGCGCCTTAGCTTGAGAGATGTGTCTTAAATCTTGTTGATTCAGCCTGATTCATTCATATCTGCAAACCGGTAATCCCTGAAGACTTGTGTGATAAGTAAAAGTTCTGCTTGACATGACTTGGTTTGCTTGGATGAAATGCCTGAGTGAACCCATCTCTTATCAACACTTGTTTATTCCACTATCTGGATGCTGGTATTCAGATGGTTCAGGGCTCCACATTCGCTGAGGCCCAAGCTAACAGAGACGCTGTTGTTAGAATATTAGATTTGTCCACTGTAATTCAATTCAGCTCTAAATTTACATCGGTTACAGTCTATTTTAGAGATGAGATGAATTCAATTCGAAAACGGTGGCAGCCTCTCTCTCTTTCACTCTGACTAGGAGTGTGACGATACTTGCGGCTCATGAAGCAAGTATCGTCACAATGCTGGCTTCCAAGAATGAGATGAGGCTGCAAATTGGTGGGAAAACTAAGAGTCCCCTTTTTGTTTGGTTCCATAAATGTGTTTTAGAGAATACTTAATCAGTTTTCTGCAATTCAGTTCAGGTCTTAAGAGTCCATATATTAGGGTTTTTAAACATGTCTACTCCAGAAGCGGTCCTGATGCCAAAAAAAAAAAAAAAAAAAGGCATTGAGAATGCTCAGTTCTGTTTTCACAGGGAGAATAAAGGTTTTGTAAATCCCACGTTGCCTTTTAAAGATCCTTTAGTTATTGTAGCATTATGCAGTTCAGTTTTAGTTGCTCATTTTCTCTACCTGCTTTAGCATTGGGTGACTGGGGAAATGATTGGGTTCGTCAGTTCGGGGTGGCCAATCAACCTAACATGTGGACGGTGAGAGAAAGCCAGAAAACCTTCGGAGAACCCACATCTGGACTGGTGCAACATGCCAACTATCATCCAGAAAGTCCCTGTGGCTGGGAATCACACTCAGTCATTTTTAGGAGACTGCAATCATTTAGCTTGGTTCTTATGGTGTATTCACATCAACCCTTTTTAGTCCACTTTAATCGAGCTCTAGTCCATTAGCGTAGGAAGTCTCTTGAATGGGTTTTTCAATTATTTTGGATCATTTGGCACAGTGCAGTGTGGAAGTGAACCACACCAGCTGAAACTGTAGCAAATGTTGCAGTTTTGGTCCTCAATCGAACCAAGTCTGCCGGACTATCAGGTGTGAAAACACCCTTAATGCTTAAGACAGGTTGCTAGGTTTCAACCATTAGATCTGAAAATCTCTTCACATGCAAGTTACATCAAACACGAAGATCTGTCTTCACTGCAGCCCCTACTGTACACGTTCTTGACTGACACCCGTTTTGAATTGACAGAGTGATTGCAGAGACTTTTGTCTCGTCATAAAGCTCTCAGAGCTGCAGGACAGAAGTGTGAAATTCAATTAAACGGTGAAGGATTTATGTAAGCACCAACAAAGTTCCTCTTTTTCTGGCTTGTAATCTCTGACTAGATGTTTCCCTTTAATCTAATTAGATTTTTTTATTATTATTACTATTAATTATTCCGAATGCTGAAGCCGTCTGACTTCTGTCTGACTTGTGGAGTTGACGGAAAGTGACGGTGTTGTCACTTACAGCTGTCGTCGTTGTAAACTGGTCCCCACTCCACCGAGACGACTCAGTGGACACACACACACACACGCACGCACACACTCACAGAAAACAACCTGCCATCTGCCTACATGGTCAAGGCACGTCCCTGTGGGAACGACGGACCCGGGCAAGCGATCAAATCTCCCCTCATCCCTCTCATGTTTTACTTGTCTCTCCTCCTCCCTCCTCCTCCTCCGTTCTTCCAAGAGTTGAAGGGCAGGATGAGTGATGGCAGCTCCTCTCAGCCTTGTTTCTGCCCTGCTGCAGATGGCCCGCTTTTCCTCCTCATGGCAACATCCATGTAACTCACGGAAACAAAACAGGAGCAAGGCGCGGAGGTGCAACGATGGATTACAAATGGAAGACTTGTCTAGGTGAAGGCAGTCCAGATGAAGACGGAGCGACGGAGTGAGGCAGTGAGCGGTCTTTACGAGGGGTTTAGGACTTTTATTTGTAGTCTGTGGGAGTGTGGAGTGTCGAGAGGGAAACTAGAAACTCTGGGAATACAACTTTTGACACCGGTTAGATTTGCCTACCGGTGAGGAGAGAAGTTAATATTCCAGAGCTTACGCCTACTCTCTCGGGACAAAATGCCTCTCGGTTGTTTTTGTTCTCCAGATCATTTATATTCCTCTTACAATCTCCGATGAAGATAAGACCTCGTAGAATGAATGTCGAACTTGAATCACTATCGTAGATCATATTAAGATCTAAAGCAAAATTATTTCCTACTTTTAATTCATGGACAATTGATGTTTTTTCTCAATTGGCTTTGAAGAAAATGACTTCCTGCCCCTTTAGAGACAGTTCTTGCTCATATCCTGTGTGCAGAGGCACGCTTGAGTTCACCGAGGATATACCAAGATGTTGCCAGATTAGGAACGGGATCAATGTTCATGTCAATTCCTCGTAGAGAGACGTGTGAATCACAAGTTCTGAGTTTGGGATTGTCGTATTTCATGTGCATTTCCTTTTATTCATCTTCTAAGATGAGATTTTGTGATATTAAAATGGCTTCTTAAATATTTGTGATTTAAGCTTTATATTCTACATTTTTGTCTGAAACTCATCTGTTGATTTAGGGCAAAAACAGTAAATTAGGTATGACTAATACATTGTATATTGTGAATAAAAGGCAAGTTTTCATTTGACTATATTCACTTCTAACTAGTTTTGCAAACCTTAAACATTTTTTGAGATTGTTACTTTGCTGATTTTGCTGTTTTTCTGCCATAAGTTTCATGATGGCAGTAAATTGTAAAGACGTTACGTTCATGGTTCGATATATGAATCAATGCGATATTCTGTAATGTTTTAGAGTCCAGTTTTACCAGAGAATGTACCTGTAAAATGTACATTATATTTGACCCCTTATCCAACGGGGCCATTTGAGCCACTTTTCTCTAGTCAATCTTCTTAACTTTGTTAATGCTAATTGCACAAGGTTTCCCAAAGGTTAATGGTTTTGATCAAGATTAAAAATGCCACCTTCCCAGTTTAAACGTCACTAGTGCAGTGCACACTTTAGAACCTTTGGCATAAAATGTCCAGATACCTGTGATGAATCTGAGCTTCTGGGTTTAAATTTATAAAGTGTCCAACCACTGAACCCTCCTGTTATGTTCCGGGTCAATTTGACCCGTT